CAAACCTGGAAAAACTTCTCCTTCTCTTCGGGGTCTTTCAACAGCAATTCAACTTGATCCACAAAGTTTGATTCTGGAAACTCGACCTCTGCGAAACATGGCTGGAACAAAAAAACATGCACAGATGTAGTTTAAGGAGTTGGAATTTTGATTTGTTGGAAAACATGATCAAGCCTGCATATAACATTTAAAAGGAGCTAACCTGTGCTGCCCAGGTGGATATGAGGGCCTTGATCCGCTCCAGGTGCATCTCGATGGTTTCTGCATCTGTTATCTGCTCAGCTCGACACAGTTCGAGAACCACCTGCAACAGAAATGGATTCACCTCGGGGGTAAATACAACTGGCAGGGCAGCACCTGGAAATGTTATTTACCAACAGCGGACTCACAAGATCCAGCGCTGGAAAATGAAAAACCTTTAATAACTCCTTTCAGGTGAGACATACGGTGCCTTGCAGGTGACGCTGACATTTTCAGAGAAATATTAAAACCCTTCATCAGCTGCACCTTCACCGTCTGTCAGGCAAAAATATAGCTTTTTATTGTTTAGATGTTGTGAATGTTAGGTGTGATTATACCCCTCTGACTCAGTGGGACTGCTAGAATGCACAACAACAGCTTTTTTACACCTTGTTTTGACAGCTAAACATCTGCATGAGAGAAACCAAACTGCTGTTGTCATTTTAAGCACCATGTTTCCTCAACAGAAGTCTTTGCTAAACACTCAACAAAAATATGATACACTCTCACCCGTGCTCGGAGTCCCAGGAGGAGTTGAGCTTTCTGATCTGCGTTCAAAAGCTCGGGTACGATTTCCGAAACGGTGCTGATGAACTCCTCCACCATCCCGTAGTCCTGCACGTTCCCCCTCTGGACGACCTGCCACATGGCTGCAGACACGAGGCGCAGAGGAGGTATGAAGAGGCGAAGAGACGGCAGCAGAAGAGGAGACTCTGGAAAAGTATTCGATATCAAAATCAGAACATTAATCACAACCGCAGTTCACTTTGAAATATCTTCAATGTTAGGTTACACTGATGATTTATTGATTTGGGCATTTTATTAAAACTATAATCCCTTCAATTACTGTTTATACACAAAGCTAGTTCTAATATGTTTAATTATTTACAATCAATAATAAATACATATTTATTCCCTCATTAAACACTTTTTAAGAGTCCAATTGTATGTAGTCTTTAGGTTTATTCACTGAATGAATTACACATTATATGTTTGAAACAATAAATACCTCCAACTTGTAGATGTAGAATACTCATGGTATTTAAACTGACTCTAATACCACTATATAATCCATAGTCTCAGTTCAATTCTACTTTAGTATTAAATAAAAACCTATTTAAAACGACATAGCTATCACGCAGTATTAGGTGCCAGCAAACATGCTTCATTAAAAAATGAAACATTCTGGTCACTTCCTTTGTCTGGCAGATATTACTGGTGTGTGAATATATTTGTAAATATTCATGACATAATATATCTTATTTTATAGGCTTTTATAAGCAGTTCATTAACTGTAATTCTACAATAATTTGATAATGTAATTCATTCTATAGTTTATAAAAAAAATAGGCTGTGGTAATGGTTTCCAAGCCTTCTCCAAATATGTAAATTAGATAGCTGTTTTTTGATGTGATATGACGATAAATTATAATGTTTTTGATATTGGTGCTTATTGGTCCGAAACTTACATACAAGCGATTGTATATCAAATGTCAACTTGTTGGTTTGGGAAATTGTGAGTACGTTTTCACCCCCTTGCCTGACACTTTACTGGACAAATGAATTCATAAAACCCACTAAGTATCAATATCAATGAAACAGTGGTACTGTTAAAAACTTAGTTTATATTCCATTTTCCATTATATTTCTAAAACCGAGCTATTCTAAGCTACTGTTTATATCCAGTTGTACTAGAACTTGACTATAAACATATATCTCCGGGGTCTTTGGGGTCCTTGGTGGGTCTTGTGGTCCTGTTTGGTCTGTGGTCTCCTTTTGGGTTCTGTGGTCCCTGTTGGGTCTGTGTCCCCTGTTGGGTCTGTGGTCCCTGTTGGTCTGTGGTCCCTTCTGTTGGGTCTGTAGTCCCCTGTGTGGGTCTGTAGTCTCCTGTTGGTCTGTATGTTCCCCTGTTTCGGTTCTGTAGTCTCCAGTTGGGTCGTAGTCTCCTGTTTCTGTAGTTCGCCCAGTCTCCTGTTGGGTCTGTAGTTCTCCTGGTATTTTTTTTTTTTTTTTTTTTTTTTTTTTGGGTCTGGTAGGTCTCTCTGTTGGGTCTGTAGTCTCCAAGTCTCCTTTTGGGTCTGAGTCTCCTGTTGGGTCTGTGGTCTCCTGTTGGGTCTGTAGTCTTCCTGTTGGGTTGTAGTCTTTGGTCTGGTCCCCTGTTGGTGTCTGTGTGTCCCCTGTTTGGGTCTGGTGGTCCCCTGTTTGGGTCTTTGTAGTCCTGTTGGGTCTTGTGGTCCCCCTGTTCGGATTCTGTAATCCTGTTTCTGTCTGTAGTCTTCCTGTTCGGTTCTGTTAGTCCTCTGGTTGGGTTCGTGTAGTCTCCAGTCTCCTTTTGGGTCTGTGGTCCCTGTTGGGTCTGTGTCCCCTGTTGGGTCTGTGGGTCCCTGGTGTTGGGTCTGTAGTCCCCTGTTGGTCTGTGGTCCCTCTGTTGGGTAGTTGCCCAGCGTCACTCCCACCCATCTCCAAATGCTTTGGCCGAGGTTGCCGTTCACCGTACCGGCACAGTGTCGTAACTAACAACTCACCACACACGAGCAGCCCTAACAATGGTAAATAAAGGCTGCGGTAGTCGTGACTTTGTTATTGCGGTACCGGTAACGTTAGGGTGATATCAAATTATATCTGGTAATGACATTACGTTTTTCTCAGTGTTGTATGTATTGATTTGTCTTTTTTGTTTTTAGCCCTAAGGAGCTATATGTTCCAGTTTCCTCAGTGTCAAGTCCCCGCGAGGCAAGCATTTGTCATTGCCGTATACGGAGCTAATTCCCAGTTGCTAACTTAAAACGCAAACCCAAGTCGACGCCAGTGTAACGTTAATAATCATTTTTCTGCTGCGATAAAGAAACGGCCAGTGTTGATTAACCCCATTAATGCGTAAACTAGCTTACGTGGAAAAGCTCCTTTCCCCCCGTAAACCACCGCACACCATCAAGGCTCACATAAAGCCAACGCAGCCGACTGACAAGAACCACCCGCCCGATCTCATTGAGTCGGGGGTACGCCCATTGTTCAAATCGGACCGCAAACACCAATCCAAGAGAAATAGCTGGATAACCCTGCGATGGGCATGCGGTGTTGGTTTATTAATGGCTTTACCGTTTTCGGTGCGGTGGTGGGCTCTC